AAATTTAACAAAAAAATGAAAAATATAACTTAAAAGTCCAAACATACAATTTATTAATATTCAAACCCATAGTTTTCATAGAATCTAAGTACAAAGAATTAATCTGAAATGAGAAATTATTTTCAAAGTCGTATTAACCAAAGCCACATATTTTATGCCTACAGTAAACCATATATAATGAAGACAACACATACAAACAAAAAATGCTAATTGCAGTATCCAGACTTGTAGCTGAAAAAACATAAAAGGTGCAAATCTAGCCAGCTTGGGGAGAAAGAAGGCTATGAGCAAAATGGCATACATACCGCTTGAGAAATCAATGGGGACGAGCTGAGAAATCAGAGAAGAGTGTTTTTGGATTACCGACGACAAACAGACAATCGTAAAAATCACATATCGTGACAAAAAAGATTACCCAGAGAGAAAGGAGGCTTCGGACGAAATGAAAAAGGATAAAGCAGTGGATTTGGCTCATCGATATTGACAAAAGTGTTGAAAATTAAACTTGATTAAATTGGGCTTTTAATTGAGCCCATAATCTAGAATAGCCTTCGGAAAATTTTAGAAACTCATTTTTATGAATAAAATTTTAGAGGATTCTAGAAATATATTTTAAAAAAGGGATTTAGAGAATTCTAGAATATTTAATTAATGAAAATAGAAGAATATTCTTGAGAGTCAATAATAGTCATGAGATTGAAATGTGTTGGCACAGTCCTAATGGGGGTGTCACTAGTATAAATAGGTGTGGTGTGTTTGAGTTTTGTATCAAGTAGAATCAAAAAGTAAAAGAGTGTAATAAAAGTGAGTTAGAAAAGTGTTCTTCTCTTTTTAGCCTTCATTCTCTTATAATAGCCTCTTATCTTCCAACAAAGTGGTATCAGAGCCAAAGTTTCTTTTTTATGGAGATGACAAGTAATGGTATGATCTTCTTTCAAGTCCCAACGCTCAACAATAGGAACTATGACAATTGGAGCATCTAGATGAAGGCTCTTCTTGGAGCATAAGACGTATGGGAGACAGGCAGAAAAAAGCTACAATGAGCCATAAGACGAGCCAAGACTATCTCAAACTCAAAAGGATAATCTAAGAGATTTGAGGAAGAGAGACAATAAAGCTCTCTTTCTAGTCTTTCAAGGATTAGATGATGATGCTTTTGAAAATTTTTATGATGTGAAGTGTACCAAAGAGGCATGGGAGAAGCTTCAAACCTATTATAAAGGAGTGGAGCAAGTTAAGAAGGTGTGTCTCCAAACATTAAGGGGTGTGTTTGAAGATTTACATATGAAAGAGCTGGAGTCATCTCCTAGTACTTTTTAGCTAGAGTCTTAACAATTTCTAATCAATTAAAAAGAAATGGAGAGAAGCTAGAAGATGTAAGGATTATTGAGAAAATTCTTCAACCTTTAGATTCAAAATTCAATCATATTATCGCTGTCATTGAAGATACCAAAAACTTAGAGGCTATCTCAATCAAGCAGCTCTTGAATTCTTCACGTGCTTATGAAGAACAAAAAAGAAGAAGCAAGTGAAACAACTCTTGAAGATGCAAAATAATTCAACTAAAGAAGAGAGTCTCGAGTATGATAGAAGCCAACAAGGAAGAGGCCGTGGTCGAGGACAAGGCTATAGTCATGGATGTGGACGGAGGTAGGAGCTCCAATAATGGCAAAAAAAAAAAAACAATACCAATTTTGAACGAGGAGGAAATTCAATACGAGGGCATGGAAGAGAAAAATCAAGGCCAATATATGACAAATTTCAAGTGATGTGTTACAACTGTCAGAAATTTGGTCAATATGTTGCAGAATGCAAAACTCCCAATAACAATGAAGTTGAAGATAAAGCTAATTATGTGAGAGAAGAAAGAAAGATAACACTTTGCTACTGGCATATAAGGAGAACAAAAAGGTGAAGATAATACAAGGCATTTGGACACCAGTGCAAACAAACATATGTGTGGAAGAAAAGATATGTTTGTGGAGTTTGACAAGTCGATGAGCCGCAATGTATCATTTAAAGATGAGTCCATGGTAGTTGTGAAGGGCAAAAGTGAAATCCTTATCCAATTGAAGAGTGGAAAGCACTAATTCATCTCTAACGTCTATTATATGCCAGATATGAAGAGTAATATTCTATGTCTGGGTCAACTCTTAGAGAGAGGTAATGATATTCATTTGAAAGATAAAAATCTTTTTATTAGAGACAATATGAGCAACATAATTACAAAGATACAAATGTCAAGAAATAGATTGTTCTTGCTCAATATTCAAAATGATATTGCCAAGTGTCATAAAGCCTGCTACAACGATCCATCTTGGCTTTTGTATCTTAGATTTGGGCATCTTAATTTTGGAGGACTGGAGCAATTATGAAAGAAGAAAATGGTGATAGGTTTGCCTTGCATCAGTCACTCGAACCAGATATGTGAAGGATGCTTGCTTGGGAAGCAATTTAGGAAGGGCTTTTCAAAGGAGAAAAATTCAAGAGCACAAAAGCCACTTGAGCTCATACACACGGACGTCTGTGGTCCAATCAAACCAAGCTCTCTTAGTAAGAGTGATTAGTTCCTTATATGCATTTTGATTTTTCAAGAAAAATATGGGTATAGTTTTTGAAGCAAAAATCGATGATCTTTGGAGTATTCAAGAAGTTTAAAACCTTGGTGGGAAAGAAAGCGGCTTCAAAATCAAACTCATGTTGTTTGATCGAGGAGGCGAGTTCACTTCAAAGAAATTTCAAGAACTTTGTGAAGTTAACGAAATATGTTGACCGTTGACTATCCCAAGATCCCTTGAACAAAATCATGTAGCAAAAGGAAAGAATCGAACTGTCTTTGACATAGTTAGAAGTATGCTCGAAAGTATGAGACAATCTAAAGAATTTTGAATCGAACCTATTGCATATGTGATTTACTTTTCCAATTGATCTCCAACAAGAAGTGTGGGGAATGACATTGCATAAAGCATGAATTGGAAAGAAGCCCAATATCTCCCATCTAGGAGTGTTTGGAAGTAGAGCCCATGTGCACGTACTCAATGAGCAACGAAGTAAATTGGATGACAAGAGAGGTACATTTTCACCAGTCATGACTCCAACTCAAAAGGGTAAAAGTTATATAATCCAAACATTGACAATCATCAATCGTGATGCTATATTTGATGAAGAAGGAGAATTGGTTTGAGACCCACATGATGAGCACGACAACTTCTTTGAGGATGAAAAACTGGAGCAAGAAAAAGAGGAGCTTACTATATCACCAACTGCATGTACTAAAGAGGATCCATCTTCTTCATCGTCTTCAAGTGAAGGTTTAAGAGAAAATGTACCACGATTCAGAACTTTACATGAAATTTATAAGGTAACCGAAAATTAAGACAATCTTATTACTTTTTTCCTTTCTACCAATTATGAGCACATGAATCTTCAAGAAGCTATCCAAAGTAAGAAGTGGAGGGACATTGTGGATAAGAAAATCAAGGTGATTGAGAAGAATGATACATGAGAGCTAGCTGCACTTCCAAAGGGCACAAGACAACTAGCGTGAAGCGGTTGTATAAAAGAAAGAAGAGTGTCAAAGAAGAAATCGAGAAGTATGAAGAAAGAATGGTAGCAAAAGGAGAAAACAAAAAATTTGGCATTGACCATGATCGAAGTGAACATATTAACACATGCTATCACTACATTAGAGACTGCATCATAAGAATGGATGTGGAAATGAAGTATGAGAAGAATCATGATCAAGTAACTGATATATTCACCAAGTAGCTTAAATATGAAGATTGCTCGGGATAACAAATCAAGTTAAAGAGATGGAGTTAAAAATTAAACTTGATTAAATTGGCCTTTTAATTGAGCCCATAATCTATAATAGTCTTTGAAAATTTCTAGAGACTCATTTTTATGAAGAAACTTTTAGATGATTTTGGGGATATATTTTAAAAAAGTGATTTAAATGACTTTTGTAACTGAAATTAGAAGAAAAATCTTGCGAGTCAATAGTAGTATAGGATTGAAATGAGTTAACACAATCCTAATGGGGTGTCAATAGTATAAATATGCGTGGTATGTTTCAGTTTTGTTTAAAGTAGAATCAAGAATTAAAAAGTGAATTTTACAAGTTTTCATTTTCTCTTTTTAGCATTCATTCTCTTATGATAGCCTCTCATCTTCCACCAAAATGAAAAGACCTGAAGAAGTGGCTAAGTGATGACGAATAGAATACATGAAGAAGGCTTGAAGTGGTAGCTCACTGAATAGAATACATGAAGAAGGCTCACCGATGACGAAGAAGAAATTAAAAATTTTACGCGCTCGAGAACCCTTGCGCAAAGTCGTGCGTGCGGTTTGCCTATTCGATAAAGAGGAGCGGTTCACTTTGAATAAGACAGTAATCCAATTTGCGGTACCTTTATTCATGAAATGACCCCCATTCTAAGAATGGGTCAAGGTACGATTACTTGTTGTACCCCTAGAGTATGTAGATATAACCGGGGTATTTCGAATGTACATAAATATGGTCCGTGGGACCCATGAGTATGTTTGGGTGGCTGCTAGGCCTGGCGACAATTAGGCCAGGAGGCTGTTAGGTCGGGCAGCTATTAGGTCAAACGGCCATTGCCCATTGGGTCAGGTGACTACTTGTAATGGATTCACATCTTCTGCTCTGGGGCTGCTAGATATGTTTTAACTCCATTTTTAAAACCTGCAGAATTAATGGTGGTTCAAAAGGTTGCCATCACCAATATGTTTCATTTTTAAGTAGTTCACGCGCGCAGGCCAAATATACTTTTATGAAATCCTCCAACTCCTCATACCTCACCTACTCAATCAACATCATCTACCCAACAACACTGAAAAGAAAACGACAACCAACCTACATATACATACTACAACCAACACAAAGAAATAAAATAAAAGCAAAATAAACAGAATTTATTCATTCCACTTAATCTACCACAGACATATTTAAAACCTCATCAATGTATAATACTGCAAACCTTTTCCTTCAAGCAAAGTCTGCTCTGACGCCTCACCGACCTTCTCTTCTTCCTCCAACATCCAAGCGATCCAGCCGCAGGATCGAACTGCACCTAAAACCCAACTAAAATGCCATCGACTTCCCAACGCACGAGTTGGTGACAGATCGTTCCCAATATCGATCGATCACCATAAAAAACTTGGTCTTCCAGCTCTCTCTGTTCAAGATGGACTCCAGGGGCGGATTTGTGGTGGGGTTGGAGGAGGGCAGAGAGGTGGGAGAGATGAAGTTTTGTAGGATTTGCAGTGATGAGGTTGGGTTGAATGATAACGGCGAGGTTTTCGTGGCTTGCGGCGACTGCGGCTTTCCGGTTTGCCGGCCGTGCTACGAGTACGAGCGCCGGGAGGGGAGCCAGAGTTGCCCGCACTGCAACACGCGATACAAGCGCCAGAAAGGTTTTTTTTTAATTTGGAGCAATTGCATATGGCCCCCCCGAAACTTATTATTTACAGATGTGCCTTCTCTTCCATTCATTTTTTAAATTCGCACTGAAATATCAAAAATTTAGTGTAAAATCCCAACTAATATTTTTCATTTTTATTTTCTATAATATTTTTACATATCAAGGCCTTCAAATCTTCCTATTTATATATCAAGATTCTGAAACGTGTTATTTACGCACTATGGTCTGTGTATTCTTTTTCGTCTCATTCGGAAAAAAATACAGTAATTGATAAAGTAGGAGCGAAAAAACGTGATATGGATTTCTCTGGAGATTGATTCGAAGAATGCACGTAGGCATGAAAGAGTGATGAAACGAATGCACTGAGGCGTGACCGAGACTTCCGTGCGTAAATAAAATTTTTCGAGACGTTGATATGTAAATAGGACGGTTTGGCGACCTTTATGTAATTATCTCAATTTTTAAATATTATTTAGGATGATTTGTAGGTGATTATCTTTTTTCGAGACGTTGATATGTAAATAGGACGGTTTGGCTATGTAATTATCTCAATTTTTAAATATTATTTGGGATGATTTGTAGGTAATTATTTTTTTTTTTTAATCCTCGAGCGCACCTAACGCAAAATATAAAATTATATGCTATGAATTTATAAATTCTTGTAATTATTATATATTTTATGTCTCCCTCTCTCCTTATGCTAATTTATTTTCAAGAAAAGTATAATGTGGCTTTAATATTTATTTAAAAAAAAAACTCATTTTCAATCATATATTTTGATATTTTGATGTGGTTATAACTAAGTTATATTAGTAACATTCATAATGTAATTTTTCTAGAACTTATTAATGAATCAACAATAGTAGCAATTTGCATGTTATTTACTTGCACTTTTTGTTTCATGGAGTTAATTGACGTGCAGGCAGCCTGAGAGTTGAAGGAGATGAAGATGATGAGGTTGGCCAGGCTGAGTCTCTCGAAGAAGTCCAACTTAATAGCAGACAGCAGGCACAGGATCATCACAAATTTGATGAGCAATCGGTACATATTTAATTAAATCATCTTAAGATTAAATGGAAAATTAACTATTTTCATCAATTCTAAAAAAGGTTAATTGAGTACAACATAATGTTATGTTTTTTAAAATGTAGAGTATTTTTATCCCATAATAAGTGGGAAAAAAAGGATATGTATATATATATATATATTAAAGAATGGGTTGAGGCTTGAGGTCCCCAACCCACCCAATGGGCTCAACCCCAGCTAGATTTGAGGGCGACATGGCGTGCAAATAATTCGAGTACCACCTGACTTAAGGCGACACTGCGCCACCAGAGTATTCAAACTCGTGACTTGAGGGGACTTACGACCTTTAGAGAGGCTCTCTACCAACAGGCCACGAAAAGCGCATATATATGTATGTGAATTGCTACTATATAAATACATATATGTGCGCGTTCAGTGGCATGTTGGTAAAGCCTATCTGAAAATTGTAAGTCCTCTCAGGTCATGGGTTCGAATCCCTATATATCACATAATTTATTCTTATTATTATTATTATTACTTTTCTACTAACTCCATGATTGAATCAGCTCATTCCTAACTCCCAACAATGTGATTCACAACTGCAGTTAAAGAGCGAGCAAGCTCACCAATGGAGGCCCAACGGCGCAGCTTATTCTTCCTTCGGCAGCGGTAATTAATCATAATTAGTGACATATTACATATAATCTTAATTAAGCTTTAATTTGTTTTTAAATTTACAGTGGCCGGTAAGGACTTAGAAGGCGAGAGGGAGATGGAAAGCAAGATGGAGTGGACAGAAAGGTTGGAGAAATGGAAGGCGATGCAGGAGAAACGAGGCCTCACAGACAAAGACGAAGATGATAATAATGATCACGACATTGAGGAAGACTACATGCTGTACGTACTTGCAGGCTCGGTTCTTGCTTGACTCGTTTATATTTTGAGCTCAGAAAGTATGTTCATGCTCAGGTCGTTTGTTTAGCGAGCCTAACATGAACAAAAATTTGTTTTGACAACCTTAACCACGTACTTGGCTTATTATTCCTTCAAATTTAGCTACTAATAAAAAATTAGGGTTTTACAGCACGGCTGAGGCCCGACAACCCCTGTGGCGCAAAGTACCGATCCCGTCAAGCCGAATAAACCCATACCGCATCGTCATCATCCTCCGCCTCCTCATCCTCGCCTTCTTCCTCCGCTTCCGCATCACCACTCCCGCCACCGACGCCTTCCCTCTCTGGCTCACCTCCGTCGTCTGCGAGATCTGGTTCGCCTTCTCTTGGATCCTCGACCAATTCCCCAAATGGTTTCCCGTCACCCGCGAGACCCATCTCGACCGCCTCTCCGCCCGCTTCGAATCCCGCCTCTCCCCCGTCGACCTCTTCGTCAGCACCGTCGATCCGCTCAAGGAGCCGCCCATCATCACCGCCAACACCGTGCTCTCGATCCTCTCCGTCGATTACCCCGTCGATAAAGTCAGCTGCTACGTGTCGGACGACGGGTCGTCGATGCTGCTGTTCGACGCGCTGGCGGAGACGGCGGAGTTTGCGCGGCGGTGGGTTCCGTTTTGTAAGAAGCATGCGGTGGAGCCGAGGGCGCCGGAGTTCTATTTCTCGGAGAAGATTGACTACCTTAAGGATAAGGTTCAGCCGAGCTTTGTGAAGGAGAGGAGAGCCATGAAGGTGGGTAGAGCAAACTAACCTGTTATTTATATATTTATATTTGCAGGGTTAGGTTAAATTTTATTTATTTATTAATAATATATGTGTACAGAGGGAATATGAGGAGTTTAAGGTGAGGATGAACGCATTGGTGGCGAAGTCGCAGAAGAAGCCGGAGGAGGGATGGGTGATGCAGGATGGCACGCCCTGGCCTGGGAATAATACGCGCGATCATCCCGGCATGATTCAGGTTCCTTCTTTTTATGGCTAAATACACATTTCTATTTTCATGCATAAATTTGTCATAAATACTAAATTATATAAATGTAAATGTTATAGTTGAAATAATAGTAGATATGTAAATGCATGAGTATTATGAGGTATTTATGTCAATCTTTTATGCGACATGATGAGTATTATGAGGTATTTATGTCAATCTTTTATGCATATATAAAAGGGACATGGCATAGCAGGCAGGTACATGCACTATACATACCTCATATGAGGGCTGTCAAAATTGCTCTTTGTTCCCGAACAGTTTGTGTTTTATATACATACCTCATATGAGGGCTGTCAAAATTGCTCGTTGTTCCCGAACAGTTTGTGTTTTGCTCGTTAAGAAGCTTGCGCTCGTTCGCTAAGTTAAAGAGCCGAACACGAACAAAGATTTATTCATTTGTGTTTGGGATGTATTGTAATTGATACAATTTTAGATGGTAATACTACTCATCAATTATATATATATATATATAATGATATAGAGGAGTAGTATTTAAAAAAATAATAATTTACTACAAGATGACAAAGATTTATTATCAATCATATGTATTAATTAAGAAAATAGAATAAAAATTATTAAATTAGATTCAAATGATGTTTTAGCATAAACAATAGTTTTTTAATCTTCCCTTAACTCTTAACATCTTATGGCTATGTAATTAGAGTTGTCAAAACGATTTTTTTGTTCGTGAACAGCTCTTGTTCAGTTTGAACCAAACACTAACGCACTTTTTGAGCTCGAAATATAAACGAGCTGAACTTGAACTGAGCCTGGGCTCGCTCGTATTTGGCTCTTTTACACCCCTACCTTATACCTGTAGCCTGACACTTGGATTCAATAACCTGCTAGGTATACCTGGGAAGCCAGGGTGCTCTAGACGTAGAAGGCAAGGAGTTGCCCAAGCTCATTTATGTTTCTCGTGAGAAGAGGCCCGGCTACCAACATCACAAGAAAGCAGGAGCCATGAACGCACTGGTACTAACTTAATCATCATCATTAACGACTCCTTTAAAGTTAATTACAACATTTTTCATGTAGAACAAGTATGAAGGATTAGTCTAATTATGATTAATTAAACTAATTATATGAATTGATTTGAAACAGGTTCGTTGCTCGGCTGTGCTGACCAACGCTCCCTTCATACTTAATCTTGACTGCGATCACTATATAAACAACAGCAAAGCCGTTAGAGAAGCTATGTGCTTTCTGATGGATCCTCAGCTTGGAAAGAAGCTCTGCTACGTTCAGTTTCCTCAGAGATTTGACGGCATTGATTACAGCGATCGTTATGCGAATCGAAACGTCGTCTTCTTCGATGTAAGTGAGAGGAAACAGGAAAAGAAAAAAAAGAGAATTTTTCTCAAACTCAAAATATTTACATATATAACACTCAATGACTATGCATTTACATATCTACCATCTAAATTTCAATTTTTATATATTTACCACTAATAATCTAGCCAATGCTGCTTTGCATGAAAAAAAAGAAGTGTATTTCATCTTTCAAAAATAAAATAGTGAAATTTTATGTGATATAAAAGATTTGAAAGATATAAATGAAGAAGGGAAAGTTAAATACAGCCATATAAAACATTCATATTTACAAATTTATCATTCAGGTGATTTTTTTTAACTATGAAACTGATGTATTTATGTGTGTCATGAAAGATTTGTTTAAAAATTGGTAAAAATGAAAATTTCGATATTTAAGGGAGAATTTGAAAGAACAAAGAAAACAAAAATTTTTCTGTGTGGACTCCTAGCTCTACGTGCGGCGCAGAGTGTTCCTGAGTTATTTTCAGGTTATTTTTGTGTCATTTTCAATTTGAGAGGAAACAGGAAAAGAAAAAAAAGAGAATTTTTCTCAAACTCAAAATATTTACATATATAACACTCAATGAATGACTATGCATTTACATATCTACCATCTAAATTTCAATTTTTATATATATACCACTATAAATCTAGTCAATTGCATGAAATAAAATTGTGAATTAAAATGTCCTCCATGTAATTGCCCAAAAAAAAAAAAAAAAAATTACATAGTGATATAAGGAAGGCAGGTATGCAAATGCCCTTTTAATTTAATAAGATACAACATACACATACAGTTTTATATATTTTTATATCTAGTACTTAAAATTTGATATTCACATTTATAACTTTCTTATGCTATAAATTTATGCATGAAAATATGTATATTATTAGTAGATACAAATGCTTGTAAATACCCTTTTTTGCCCTTTTTTAGCTAAGAAAAGTTTTAAATTTATAATTATCCCGAAATAACCCAGAAATAACCCGCGGTCTTTATTTTTGGGTTATTTCAGGATAATTGAAAATAACCCATAAATAACCTGAAAATAACTCAGAAATAACCTGCACCGCACGTAGAGATACGTCAGGTGTTCGGATAGAAAATGCCCGCCAAAGAAAGAGAGTGGTTCTATGTAAATAGCAACTTTCAAATGTCCTCCATGTAATTGCCCAAAAAAAAAAAATTACATAATGATATAAGGAAGGTATGTATGCTAATGCCCTTTTAAATTAATAAGATACAACATACACATACAGTTTTATATATTTTTATATCTAGCACTTAAAATTTGATATTCACATTTATAACTTTTTTATGCTATAAATTTATGCATGAAAATATGTATATTATTAGTAGATATAAATGCTTAGGTTCCATTATAGGGCCATCAAAAAAGCTCGTTGTTCGCGAACAGTTCGTGTTCGGTTTGTCAACGAGTTCGTGTTCGATTCATTCGATAAGTAAACGAGACAAACGCGAACAAATTTTTTTCGTTCGGTTAGTTAAACGAACCAAACACGAACAGTGATGCGTTCGTTCGTGTTCGAATCGTTATTGTTTGAAATATAAAATAATATAAAATAATTATATATAAAAAATTTATTATATTCTAAAACATTAAATTTTATAAATTATAATATATAATAAAATAATAATAATAATATATTAATATACTATAGTAGTAAT